GTGCTTCGCTTTGGCAATGTGTGATCAACAAGAACCACAAGGCGCTAATTAAAGTTAGCACAACCTACTTTTAAAATAACTCTGCCCTACTTTACCTGAGGTTGAAGCAGTGCTTGCTTTACTCGGACTCCTGTAACTGTGCTTTACCGCTTGTTTACGCTCAGCCGTGACGGGGCGATGACAATAAATGGTTTTGTGGCTAAAATTCAACAGGTTTGATGAGTAGGCTACATGTTACAGGACCTTAGTGGGCCACCTCATCACAAGCTAATCAGTTGGCATCTGTCGCTATTTGAGACCGATAACGGAAAAGTGTAGTAAGCACAAAAAAGAAACTGCAACTACGTTACACTGACCTTCTGACTTGGTGTGTAACGTAATGCACGTACACCGGAAAAAAAAAACATCACAAACTGATAGATTTTCTCCACAGACCTTGACCCTTTGTGACATCTGAATGCCAGGATCTCTTTTCCTAGCATTTTAAAGAGTAACGCGTTGCCTAAACTGCTATCAGCCAATCAAATCTTTCATTTGCGATATTTTGATGAAGAAAAAAGTCAAAACAAAACCCGAAGTCGTGAAAAACAACCCAAATAAAGCCATGCTGACATATTGTGGCGGAGAGTGTGAAAAGTGCTAATGCTAGTCCTCCATCCCGGCCTGCGCTCCTCAGTGACTCCGGTGTCGTCATGCGAGGCCAGGTGTTTGTGACGGTGGGACGGTTCTCGCCCCGGGTTGCGCGCTGAGGATGGGACACGGCGAGGTCCAGACGGAGGATGTGGGAGGGGGAAAAAAACACTCGTGACACGGCACACACAAACAAGTCCTGGGATGAATGTGACATTCCCACTGACCGCATGCTGCTGGAGATGTACACATACAAAAGGCAAGCCGCCCACCATGCATACTGACTACCAATGGCAAAAATATAATCCTTTTTGTCTTTTTTCCTATTTTTTTTTATCTCCAATCCTCATCCCATGTGTCTTCACTGTAAGGTAAGGCAGGGATTTATTTTTTTAAATAAATTTTTTTATCTGATGTGTGACTGTCTGTCGTTAAAACAAGCTCATTGACTACGCCCCGAGAGACCAGCAGTCTAAGCAGTATCTTCAAGACATCACCATCCCTCCCCCGCTGCTGATCCTCGACAGGTACCCCGTCCTCCAGAACATCTCCGGAGTCGTTTCCGCGTTACGCCATGTAGATGAAGGTGTTAAGGTCCGTCTCGTCTCTCTTGATGTACTTGTGCTCAATGAGCCACTCGATCTGTTCCTTGATCATTTTCTTCTGAGGGAGGAACATGTTCTTCAGGATCTCCACCAGCTCGGTCTGCAGCTGAGCGTTTGTGATCTTCTTACGCATCTTCATAATCTGAATGATGGCCTCCTGAAATGTTGCAGTCAAAGAAACAAACACATTAAGTCCACTATAAAAAAACAAACAGTATTTTATTGTAAAATTACTTATTACAGTATTTTTACACCCAGAAAGGTAATAAGGACATCGTTAAAATAATCATCAGTGGTTCAACCATAATTTTACGAAGCTACAAGAATACTTCTTGTGCGCAAAGAAAACAAAAATAGCGACTTTATTTAACAATTCTTCTCTTCTTTGTCAGTTTTCGCTGCAAGAGAGTACCGCGACGCAATTTTTTGCACTAATTAGTTTGTCCACAAGGTGGCAACACTGGCCCGGACCATTGTTTCATAGTTGAAAAAAATGAAGGAGATGGAACAATAACAACCAATGACTGGAACAGATGCTTGTGTGATGGAGTTACACGCAACTCTAGTTTAAACGAGTGCAAAGACATTTTAATCGGCATAACTTCTGTAGAGAATTAGCGCAGACGATGGACAAGGAAACTTTCTAGCGTGTCGAGTACTTCTGTTTGCACACATACTATCAAATGGAGTAAATTTTGAAAGGCTACACATTAAACTGAAGTATACTTTGGGCTTTAGTGACTAGTGTTCATGAACAAAATGGACTAGTAATGCTTTTTGATGTTTTGCACCTGTGTTCTTAATATTCTAAGCTGGACGATGCCTTCGTTCTCCTCTTCTCTCATTCGCTCCGTCGTCAGCTGCAATCGGCCAATTAGGTTTATTTTCCCCCTCTTTTGAACCTTGGCATTTTTTCTGAGGAGAAACAAAAATATTATTATTATTATTTCCAATTAAAGAGACCATTTCTAAAGAGCCAGCAGGACAGGACATGTTCTTACATCAAGGAGAATTCCTGGTTAACGAAAAACAATGTACTGTCTGTGAAGTCTTTGGGAGAGCTCACTTGAGGTTCATATAACAGGACTTGGCGTTTGAGCTTTGGGAAGGCAACGAGAGACTGTAAAAAAAGAGAGGGAAAAAGATAAGTAGATGATGGTACAACATCTATAAACAAAGATATTTTAATTGACCATAATCAGGCCATTTTAGATATTTCTAACTGATCTTTGCAAACACTAATCATTTGATAACACTGTAAAATGTAATCAAATAAAAAAAAAGAATATCCATTTTTCATACAACATACATTATAATGTTATGATATCTAAATTCACGTGTAGCATTGTGATTAATTTTAGTTCTTAAGTGTTTTATATTTTTATCTATTCACACTAAACAGTACACACATTTTTATATTGATCATTTATCAGTTATCAACCATAACTTTCTAGGGGGTCGCATGATGATTTAAAGTATTTAAATGAATAAATGAATGTAAGTGCTATAAATATAAAAAATCTAATCTAAATAAAATGCAAAAAAATCAAGATAACTATTGTTTTTACTAAGAACGCACAGTTCTTGGAACTTCTGGAATCACAAAATGAACTGTGCTGAATTAGTTTAATATATCAATGCTTCCAGTTTAAAGTTTAAAAACAAGCAACTTCATCATAAGTACAGCAGAAATATGGTAAATATCTAATGGAATAAAATGCGACATATGGGCCTTCATGTTTGACAGTCATGTTCTTACCCAGAGAGTTCGTCTCAGTTCAGCATCAGGCAGCTCAGTGGCAAGTTTCAGATTCTCAAAGCTGATCTTCTCTCGTGGTCTTTGGTTCCAGGCAAAAAGTACAGCCAGCTGAAAGGTCGTGACCTCCAGGTCGTACTGCCCTACTTCATTCTTAAAAGTGATCTATCAAGAGAGCACACAGACTGATTAGCTACAAGTTGCAATTTACAGTTACTACAAATCACTACTAAGCACTAAACTTGGTGCATAAAATAAACCCACAATGCCATTGGACATGAGGTGGTGCCAGTGGAGTTTGCGGCCGCTGTGGTTCTTCTTGTAGAAGTCCTCCACCTCTGGAATGAGGTCTTCCAGCTCGGTGGGCAGAGACACAAACACTTTCTCTGAGCTGCGTGACCACGCTCCAGCATTCAAGATCTTTATGTTCACAGAGTCCGCTGGGTAACAGAAGGGGAGACCGCTTTTGATATATTTAATGCATCCTTGCTGAATAATAATATGAATTTCTTTCAAACTCAGTTAAAAGGTAGTGTAAATGCATATATAGAGAGAAAAATGGGCTTGTGTGTCACCTGGTAAAGCCAGCTTGTTGTGTTTGTGCATTTCCTTGAAAACCTGGTTAAGATCTTCGGACACTTTGATGTCCTGGAACATTCTAGCTAGCTTGTTCACATAGTCAGCAGGCATCCCAACTTCCTGAAACATGCCAAACAGTGAGCCGATAGAGTATAAAACACTCAAATACAAATTTCATTCACTCTTATTTGTCTTTATTCTTACCCTGAGCCACTCAACCATGTTCTCCTCGATCTCACTGTCTGCTGAGATGTCCAGGATCAGACGTCTGGTCAGATGGGCTTTGTGGTACCTCATGAACACATCCTTATTCTGGACGTATTTTAGCACAAGTAGCTACAGGAAAAAAATAGTATTTACATTTCAAAACACTTTTAAGGACAACAACAAAATCATTGAGTAAACAACATGTGACTTTTCCAACAGCCCCTCACCACTTCCTTCAGTTTGAGCTCGATCTCCTCTGAGGTCAGCTTTTTGCTGAGTGGTGTTTTTCTTAGCAGCATGTCACAATAGTTTGCGAGCAGCTCTGGACACTTTGACTCTGGTTGTGTTTTTAGGCCCACTCTGCATTTAGAAACATCAAACACGACTGATACAAGTTGATACAATACTGAAACATGGATCACTTAAGCTCACTTGCAGGTTTATTATATTTAATACTAAAACCATAAAATAATTTTTGTGACTTGAAATAAAATAAACTTTTAACTGAAATAAAATATAAAAAAAACTTAAACTTATTTTATTTCAGCTAGTTGCCACAGCAACTTTCCTCATTTTCATTTAGTTTATTGTGATGTACTAAAATAATAAATTTTTTTAAAATTAATTTAAAAAATAAAAATAATTGAAATAAAAATGAAACGAATAATGAAAACCATATAGACATGGCAAATCATACAAACAAAAAATGACAAAAAAAAGACAAACACACACACACACACAAAAACTTTAACTAAAATGAATGAAAACACAAAATATAAAAAACAAATTCAAAATACTAATAAAAACTATAATAGTATCTAAATGATGCTAAAATAACACTGCTCAATTACAAATGGGCCCTTTTTAACTGTGAAGACGTGTTTCCACAGTTTATATTGTAAATCTAAAGTTTTTTATTTTTGACCATTCTTAAAAAAAATTTAATATACATTTATAACAAAATACTTTGTTATATTTCTTTGGCATTGAATAACAGAAATTTTATAACAGAAATATTTTCTAACCTATTTTGTAATGTCATAGATTTTTGTAAAGTAAACCTCTCCACTATAGACTATGACGGGGTGCCCAAACTCAGTCCTGGAGGGCCGGTGTCCTGCAGAGTTTCGATCCAACCCCAATTAGACACACCTGAACCAGCTAATCAAGCTCTTACTAGGCATACTAGAAACCTCCAGGCAGGTGTGTTGAGGCAGGTTGGAGCTAAACTCTGCAGGACATCGGCCCTCCAGGACCGAGTTTGGGCACCTCTGGACTATGACTTCAGCTTCTAAGTTGCATGTAAATGTGTCTATTAGTTAAAAGAAGGTTATTTTGTGCCGTTACTCACCCCTTCTGTTTCATTGGCAGCTCCAACTTAAATATTGTGGCATCATTCACAACTGCTTTGTATGCCTGTGGGGAAATGTTAAACATCATTAAAAAGGTATGTGAGATATAAAAACTTCATTTTTCCTCAATTAATTTTTCAGTAAAATAAACAGCATTTTAAATGGAATTATTGTTATATAACCTTCCATTGTATTCCTGTGTCATCACAGATCTCTGGTAACCATCTGCGGTGTGATCTAGTCATGCAGGCTACTTACTGAGACCAGAATGAATATGGATAGGGCGGCATGCTCACTTTGTCTCTGGCTGTAAGGAACCGAGGATCATCCTGGAACGCTTCCTTCACTAATTTACTAAATCGATTGAAGAGAGTCAGGAGCTGCTCCACGTACTTCTCAGAGTCCTGAGAAGAAACAAACACAAACGTCAACATCTGTTCGACACTGTGGTTGCCTAATATTTGAGGATCTACAAAGGTCAAGGTTCAAACCTTGACAGGGCTTTGGAATAAATCAAGTAAAACTGTGACAATTAATTAAATATTCATCTTATCAACATTAATCAATTGTCCTTTATTTATACTAGGGTTGGGCCGATTCACGCTTCGGGCACACCCCCTAACCCCGCCCTCTGATGTCATCGTCCATCACCAGAGGTGGAAAGAGTACGAAAATATTCTACTCAAGTAAAAGTACCATTACATTAATGAAATTTTACTTAAGTACAACTAAAAGTACCAGTCTAAAGATCTACTCAAGTAAAAGTAAAAAGTAGCTCATTTAAAATTTACTCAGTGTAAACATTACTTAGTTACATTTTAACAGTGGGAGGGAGGCAAAAATGGGATAGGTCAAGGGTGTCAAACTCAGTTCCTGGAGGGCCACAGCCCTGCACAGTTTAGATATAACCCTAATTAAACACATCTGATCCAGCTAATCTAATCATTTAGGCTTATTTGAAAACTACATGGTATGTGTGTTGGAGCAGGGTTGGACCAAAA